TGTCAATGAGCAAGCCGCCTTTCCTAAAAATGGATTACTTTGAAAATAATTTTAGTTTCTTTTAAGGAAAAGGAGAAATGATTATCAGGTAATTATCAAAAACCACTCAACCAGCAAGTGGCTGGGTGATTTCACAGCAAACATCAAGCCAAAACATATGCTTACATTCATCTAACAATTGAGCCATTTGATTACACAAGGATATGTGAGCAAAATAAGAATCCAATTATCCAATGTTGACTTCCTTGCAAAGTTTATGCCTTATTTTATGAAAATGTGCCACTAGAATATGATACTTATCATCGAATATTATTTAATTTACGATTTATTTCGATCGGAACGCACATGGGGTCCCGCGCCATTTTCGTCGACGATAAATATGATCGTGTTTCATGAAGAGATAAGGGGTTTCAATGGTCTTTCAAAGCAATAATTTGATGCAAAAATTTGTAGGAAATAATATAAAGCTGGTTCAAATGGCCATCAACCATTTAAAACACCGAAAATACTCACAACTTCGTCCCGACGACCACGCAGCACCGCGCACGCCACACTACTGGCACAATGCCAAAATTGCCGTCACAGCAGAAATGTTTTTTTCTCTCGATTGCAATTGTGGAGTTATTTATTAAACAGAAGATTATCTTTCCGAAAAACCGACTGATTTCATACAGAGATGCATGGAAAATAAAAAAATCCCGGTAAGTTTATTTGTATTGTTTTGTCGATTTTGACATGCTCCTAGTTTGCAGCCATATTTTGATATGTTCTACAGGGAGTTCAGAATTATTTCAGGACCAATCTTTTCCTCATTCATTTTCCCGTCGATCATGAAATTTTTAGAGCGGAACAATTAGTTTCCAGGCGGTCCGAGCGGTTTTCGTGAGAAGGGTGCAAAAATCGGCGTCATTTTTAGAGCCTCGACACCAGCTCAACACAGGACCCTATGGGAGACGGCGAAGTAGCGGGAGCAATAAATAGAGCGCTCTAATTTTAGCTTATTTCCCTGGTGTGTCACCGACTGACATGGCAGAGAAAAATGAATGCTGGGGAGTCGGGGACCGTTATGTCATGTATTACCATGTGGAATGCCAATGTTAATAGATCGGATCTGCACCATATGAATGTTTTAACAAGATACCACCAGAAACCATTGTTACCATTGACCATTGGTAACCCATAGACCATCAGAAAACATGTCTAATGGTTTCTTATGGCCTAATGGTTTCTTATGGTCTAATGGTTTCTTATGGTATGGTGATCATACCATAAGAAACCATTAGACCATAAGAAACCATTAGGCCATAAGAAACCATTAGACCATTAGACCACTAGCCCATTAGACCATCAGACCATTAGACCATCAGACCATTAGGCCATAAGAAACCATTAGACCATTAGCCCATCTGACCATCAGACCATTAGACCACTACAAACCATTAGACCATTAGGGTTTCAATTTCCATATAGACCATTAGACCATTAGACCATTGCTAATGGTTTTTTCTCTAGGGCCCTCACCCATTCAACCAACACCTGCGTGTTGTTTGTATCCGGAAGTGTGATAAATCTGGCAAAAGAAATATCTAGTTTAGCAAATTATTCACTTTTAGGAAATCAAGCTACAACAAAATATTTTCTAGTATTTTGAATTATTTCAGTTAGTGCGAATATCGTAAATTCAGATTTAAAAATATTTTTTTCTTTGCACCTGGAATGGAATAGGATAATTGTACTAGAAATCTGGGATAATTTCAAACTAGAATCGATGGAAGAAGCCGCATGCAAATGAACATACGCTGTACTCCGTGTAATAACTACACATTCACCCGCTGCATTTTTCAGCATTTATTTTCGTTTTAGCCCATCGACAATAAATAATACGTGAAGCGTTTCAGTTTTTTGCGATAACCGCCCAAACCACACCACCTACAGACACGATTCAACCACCAATCGACAGCTCTCGATCGTGGCTATGTGCGCGGCACATTTTTAATCGCATTTGCACCCCCCAAATAGCCAAACTCGGCCCCTCGACTATGTCGCCCGACGCTCCAGAGATGGCGCTGACTGTCTGCGTGACGTCAGCTCACACGACCGGCGATCGCCAATCATAAAACGTGCATGTCGCCGCTGGGCAACCAATTCCAGCGTACTGTCTTGCTTTTGCCCTCTTGTTCTGAAAATTTGGTCAAGAAACATGGCGTATAACCTTCATTTAAAACCAAATTTACTCCCAACCACTTCGCCGTAAAACGCCACAATACGCACCAGACCATGTCATCAACCCGTGCAGAGTACCGCGGGTTATTCAAAGCGTTGATGTTTGCGTCCTAGATAGCTCATTTGGTAGAGTGTTAGACTTCTATGGAATGCGTCGCTGGTTCGATTCCAGCTCGGGATGTTTTTAAAACGTACTTACATCTTTAGTTACAGTACCCGGCCGCTAGGGTCGCGACCCCGTAGAGGTCGCTGCGGTCCCCACGTGACCGACCGGCCGCGGCCGCCGGCCGGCGCAGCGGCGGCGCAGTGTGGGGCGTGCGGGCGGAGGGATTGGTGCGGTAACTGCGGTGCCGTCAGAGCGGCCCCTGCCGGACAGCGGAAATGCGGCATGATACAGACATGGGAGGGGGGGGGGGGTAGGTAAATGGTGGATGGATGGATAAAGAAATGATGGAGGGAGAGAAGGAAGGGTAAGTGAGCAAATGATTGAGTCGATGAGAGAACAAGTACAGAGGATGGAGCCGAAAGACGTTTTTAAAATGCGCTTACAGCTTTGTTGCAGCACTCGGCCGCTACGAATAACTACATTACCGATCCTGAGTGGCGGGCGGGGGGGGGGGGGGGGGGGCGGCGAGGTACCTAGATTTGGGATAGGTTGGTTACAGAATTCCACAAAATACTGACAAGATTATCGATTATGTTTAGTGGGGACGGTGAAGGGCACAGGGAAGGGCACGGGGACAAGACGGAGACGAAGACGGAGACGGAGATGTAGCGGCCAGTGGAGGAGCAGGGACGGAGACGGAGACAAAGAGAGCGGGAGCGGGAGCGCGGGAACGGGGACGGAGGCGGCGACGGAATCGGAGACCAGACAGATACAGAGACAGAGACAGAGACGAGACAGAGACAGAGGCGGAGACGGAGATGAAGCGGTCAGCGGGAGGGGGATGAAGACGGGGACGGAGAAAGAGAGCGGGAGCGGGAGCGGGAATTGGAGCTGGGACGGGAACTGGGACGGAGATGGGGATGGAATCCGAGACGAGACAGATACAGAGACAAAGGCAGAAAGGGAAGACGGAGACGGAAACAGAGCAGGCATAATTATATCTTTAGCACTGAAAACATTAGGTACCGATCGTGAGTGGTGGGTCGGGGGGGGGGGTGCAGAGGGAGGAAGGCGGGGGAGGGTCGGGGCGAGTCACTCAGATTTGGGATAGGTTAGTTACAGAATTCCACAAAGTACTGAAAAAAAATAGCGATCATGTTTAGCATTACGAGCGTACCAATATACGTATAGCGTCTTGAGCTGGGACATAAAAACTTATATGTATCTGCGGCGCGGGCGGGGAAGAAGCCACTAGCCAGTACTTTTTTCAGTACCAAGAGGGGATTGGAGTGGAGGGGAGAGGAGGGGAAGGAGGGAGTGGAGGGAAGGGGAGGAAATCGAGGGAGGGAGGGAGGGGGAGCGAAGAAGTGCGATGAAGGAGACGGGGAGAGGAGGGAGAGAAACGGATGGGGAGGGGTAAGTAAGCATACGATTGGATCAGTGATCGACAAAGTCAGAGAGCGGAGAGGAGGGAGGGAAGAGGGATGGAGGCAGGGAGGGAGTGAGAAAGGGAAAGGAAAGAGAGAGAGAGAGAGAGAGAGAGAGAGAGAGAGAGAGAGAGAGAGAGAGAGAGAGAGAGAGAGAGAGAAAGAGAGAGAGAGAGAGAGAAAGCGGGGCATTATGGACGGGATTTTGGACAGGACGGGCAGGGATTTCTATATAGATGTTCAAACGACGATTACAATTAGCGCCGGTAGGCGCGGGAGGGTGACCTAGTTATACATATATTATCAATCTCATTTTGAATAAGTCATAAATCAATAAGCAAGACAATGTGCGGAAATAGATCCTCAATAGACAACTGATCCTTCTGAAATGCTTATTCCGTATGGTCCGGACTCGATATCGCTGCGAAAATAACCAGAAAATGTTGAGGAGACCACAGTGTGAGGAGACGAAAGAAGAATGTCAGTTTCAGTGTCAGTCAGGGCCGGAAGTTCAGAGGGTTGCGTGGGTGTTCATTGCACAATGATGGACGCAGACGGAGTGAGGAACAAACGCTTCCGCCCACAGCAGTGCATGAAAACAATCGAACATCGGATAAACTTTAGTGGCTGTCTCTCCCAGGGTATATAGAACAACGTCTCTCCAGTTTCTTCATCTAGTCAGCCCTAGCTGGGACCACTGCAGGGCATTATGGGCCACTATGACTATTATGTGTACGTTTGTGCACGGAAGAGGGTGGAACGAAAAAAATATCGGTTTGAACGAACTAATCAGTAATCAGTAATATTTTCAATAGCAAATCACAATTCTAAAGAATAGGGATTTTTCCTATTGAAAAGTCAAAAGTCTCAACCTTCGGGTACGGAACGGGGCAGAGGGCCTTTCGGACATCAGTTTAGGGCTCGCTCTCCAGTTGCCGCTATCAGGCAGGTGATCGGTCGAACTTTAAACGCAGCGGCCAGGAGTAGCAGCTAGCGGCATCAGGACGACGACAGATCGGAGTTCTATGCTCTTGGGTAGATCTCCGTTATGGCTGCACATCATGCATAGTTTCAAGCTGTAACCATGTGTCACGCAGCGTTGCATAAATTCAGCTGCCCCGAGTGATAAGGCAATACCTTACAAGTTACAACGCATTACCCTCGTAACGTTTCGGAGCCAGTCATATGGAAATTGTAATGAACCGTGATATACCTATAACCGCACCATTGGTCAAAGTCGAGCATAGCTTGGGAAAGTTTATATAAATTTATTGGACACGTTGAAACAGCAGTCGATGGCGAAATATCATTAAAGGAGGCAGGTGCAGTCGAGAGCAGCTCAGGCGGCCAGTGCGTCGGCGAGGAGGCCGGTGACAGCTCCGAGCAGCTGCGGCGGCGGCGCCTGGCCGCGCGCCAGCGCCTGCTCGGCCTCGCGCAGCAGCTCGGCCAGCTGGGCGCGGCTGACGGCCAGCTGCTGCTGCAGGCGCGCCAGCAGCTGCGGCGCCTGCTGCGCCAGCGCGGCGCGCAGCTCGGCGCGGCCCAGCGGCGCCGGCTGGCCGCCCAACAGGTGCGCCACGATCCACTCGTAGATGTGCTCGATGACGGACATGAGCAGCGCGATCAGGTCGTCGATGATGGGCGGCACGCCCTGGAGCTGGGAGGCCGCCGGCACGGCCGCGGCAGAGGCCACCATCAGCGCCACCAGCAGCAGAGTCACCTTCATATCGGCGGACGGAGGTTCTGCAGAGAACAGCACACAGGTCACAGAGAGGTCATACAGGGCGACAGAGGTCACACAGGGCGACAGAGGTCACACAAATCAGCAGAGGTCACACAGGGCACACAGAGGGCGTGACTTGGCGAGCTACGGGACGATACGAGATCGCTGTAGATGTCACTGCCAGCAGAACGACGTTAGATGGCATCCAATGCTACAGTCACTGTCGAGTAGGAAAAGAACAGACAATTTGGATCAGAACATTCAACATGACACCCCAAGAATCATATAGAATAAGCGCTGGATGAAATATTGGCTCACGATTTTGAGGGCACCACCATAAATGAACCGTCGACACCACATCCGTCGCCGTCGTCACTCGTCAGGCCACCCTACAGCTAATCCTATAATCCGTATATCGGATCTCTGTCCTCCAGAAGTTTTCAAAAGCCGACCGGCCTGCCTTCGTTTACCCTCCAAACGCAGACAGGTAATCGCAGAGCGCTCACCTGTGGTGCGGCGACGGGCGGAGGTCGGCTCCGGGGCGGTTCAGACTGCTTAGTGTCGACCTCACCGTGGGCAGCGCCACATTTGAGGAGGTGAGGCCGCTGGGAACTGGCCACTGGCGAGCTGAGATAGCGACGCTGCGTGTCACAGTGGCCAGGTGACAGTTCCCAGACAGGCACCTCCCGCTGCCGCCTCGGTAATCACTGGGCAGGGCGGGGCTGTAGCGGCAAGCACGGATGCATCGAGCTGAGAAAACTCAGCTAGTCGGTCATTAACAAATGATGAAAGAATGTAGTGTTTTGATGACGAGGGGAGCTGAGTGGCAACTTGGAATTGTGAAAACATCCCGCACATAGGCTTGGTTCTTAGGCTTCGCATCGGCAAGCGGTTTGCGATGTTGGATAGGCTATCAAGCATTTTCAAAGTTTTGTTTCTTAGGTAGCAGTAAAGAAGAAATGTCATAAGATTGAATTGTTTAGATTACAAGCAAATGACTGGACGTCAGTACCTAACTCAAACTTCACTAGACCAGTGACCGACCCAGGATCTGGGAACAGCCTTTTTCGCGATGTTATGCCGATGGTCGCCAAAGCTAAGTTTGAGAATACGATCGTACCTGGTTATCGGAAAACGTGTCATCTTTTTACAACCAATCAGGCCGATATATCGGTCACCCTCCGGTACATCTGACAGCGTCACTCTACCGGTAGGATCAAAAGGTGAATTTCAGTATGGCGTTGACAAGTCATAAAGACATACGTAAAAGTTAAGTGCGGCTATGAGCCGCTCGCGTCTTTTCTCGGCCGTTCTCATTGACACATGGCAGTCAGTGTCTCCCAAATCCGAATACAGTTTCACGGATACACCCTTATCTCATCGGACTACTATCAGTGCTCGGCCACACTACGTCAATGCCAATCAGAGTAGATAAGATACGCGCTTCCCAGCGCAGGCAAAGGTTTTACAATCCGCAGCTGATGCCTGAGAAATGCGAATAAACCAGACAAGGTATAAAGTCTCGACCAGCATACAAATCCCAACTTCATCAAACATAATCAGGGTCCTCATATATTTTGGTAAAATGTGGTCAGAGCGCCATACGCGCAGGGGTACGGACACAGACCTTTATCTTCACATGATTTGTCACGTCTACCTACGCAATTACAATAGGTTCCGCTCCAACCATGGGTAGGTTGGCAGCGCTGCTATAAACAGGAGAGGAGAGTCAACGTCTGATTTACTGTACTCTATCGCCAACCATGGGCCGCCATTGGCTGGCTTGCCGAGGCTCGCCCCCTGCCGGGATGTTTCGGATCGCACGTATCTGATAGAACTCGGATTTGTCACCAGCTAACACAGATGCTGTCTGCCACACCAGCTGAGGGTTTTAACGAGGACTTCATTCAGGAACATTAATTAATTGAAAAAAGATGAGCTTTCAATCGTACTAACATATACATTTCACAGAATCTCATTTGTATGCATTCATTTCGCTGTAGCGCAATATGCACGTTCGCGGCAGCATACAAATACTAATAAAAATCTCCAGTAAGCGGTGAAAAGCAAGAACAAGAAGAAAAATAAACAATAGCAATGATATTTCTAGGCAACAGTTGAGAAAATACTTCAAGTGCTCGGCAATTAACAAATTAAGGAATTAATTTTCGGCCAAAAGTTGAACTTACGTAGTTACTTGGAAGGTCTATCACCAAGAGCCAATAGACTGGTATCGTCACCCACATGCAATCCTAGAAGCTACACATGCCTTAGGCATTTAAATATGCAGTGTCAACTCTCTATATACCTACACCGGCGATGGAATTTTAGAACACAAATTCTTGCACACCCATCGTGAATCCTCATTATGAAGTAAATTACCGCTCACAAATCACAAGAGACGTCGTGCCGCTGAAAATTTCGTGGAGTGGCGAAGCACAGTCTTCCATATATTGCAATCCTTGCCTTCTTGGAAGTGTGAGCCAGCACGTTTCACCATATACCGTCGCCTGAGTCCTCACATCGCCTTCGATATCCTCGCATCCAGTCTCACTGAGACCTGCCAGATTACACTGGTATTACTCCTGTCCTGAGCCCAGGCAGTCCATCAAGCTGCTACATGCGCCGCTCACGCACTGGGCAGCAGACCTGTCCCAAACTGGAGCTCAGAGTAACAACTCCACAGAGCATCCGAACACATGGAACATCGATCTGAACTCCTACCAGGCTGAGGCGAACGGAGAGTCGGTCGACTTGTTGCGCCCGGACGGTCCGTATGCCCAGTTGTCGCCACTCTCCGGCTGCGGCGGCGGCGAGTAGCGGCGCGGTGGCGGCGAGGCTCGGCGAGGAGGGGGCGAGGCCCGGCGCGGTGGCGGCGAGGCTCGGCGAGGAGGGGGCGAGGCTCGGCGCGGAGGAGGCGAGGCGCGGCGCGGCGGAGGCGAGGCGCGGCGCGGCTCGGCGTACGAGTCGCGCGCACGCTGGTAGTCGCGCACCACGCCGCCCCAGATGCGGCCCCAGGTGGACTTTGAAGCGGCCGGCCGGTGCGGCGTCACCTCGCCGTCCTGTCGCCAGCGCTCGTTGCGCGCCTGGTGCAGACTGCCGGGCGGGTCGGCCGGCTCATAGGCCGGGTTCGGCCGACCGGCGTCCGGGCGCACCCTGTCCGCCGGGATGGTCGGTCCGCCGCCGCCCTTGGTGGGGCGCGCAGAGGGACGGGCCGTGACGGTGGCGTAACGGTAGCCCACCACGGCCAGGCCGACCATCGCGGCGACCGCCATCAGGCAGCTGAGAGTGATGAGCACCACCATGAAGGCAGAGCCAACCTCTAGGCCCACCTCGGCCGGTGTGGCCGCCGCCTTAGCCGCAGTCACGTGCGTCTCCGTCGCTGCCACGGAACCGAGCAGTTCCTGGGCTTCCGCGTAGTCCATAGCGCTCAGCGAACATTTAGTGAAGAACGTGTCCAGTGCATCATTCTGTGCTTTCATGTCGGCCAGGACATCTGGGGTGAACTCTCTAGCAGAGACACGGTCAAGCACAGCAACTGAACCGTTCAGGGTCGTGCTGACGTCGTTCTTGTGACACGCGTTCGTCTCCGACTGGAGGTTTTCTTCTCTCTGCAGGTTCAGGGTTTTGGGCAGCTCGGGAAGCCACTGCGCGCTCCGTTTGTCGAACGCCTTGCCGTGCGGCAGGAGCTCCAGCGTGTCCATGGGGTGGTCTAGCTTCAGATTGTCCGGCCCGTCCGGTTCCGTCTCCTCGTCCGGTGGCGCCCCGGTCGGATCTGGGGTCGCTTTGCTCAGCTCGATAGTCATGTTGCTGAGTAGCTGGTCCATGATGTTGACCTGATCCAGGATTTCGGCTTGGTAGTCTGTAGCGCCGAGCGGAGTCGCCATCACCGCCGCCGCTGAGGGAAACATGCAAGATAGTTGTTAGTGGAGAGTGATGATCATTGACTTTCGGCGCCGACAGTACATGAAGACATTGGTACAAATAACAAAACTACAGACTACCACTGACATATTTGACAGACCAACACAGGTTTCGACAAACACAACAATATAATGGACTTCAATAGTGTAAGGGATACTCTTGCCTCTTGCTAGCAGCAAGGCGTATCAATCTAAACGTAAGACACTGGGTAGCCAAGAGGGACATTTCAGATATGGAGTTTCCTCTGACATACAACGAATGAACAGCCAACAGTTGTACCTACTTGCATAGCTTTTCCAGCAGTGTTAGAAAAGTCATGAATGCGCTTACACACAGCCTCACAGTGAAGCACGAAAAAGAAGCATGCCTATATGATCCGGGAGGTTAATGGTAGCCATAGGGTCAGGATCGGGAGCACACAATGGACCTCACACCTGGTCACACTTGGACAAAGTTTCACACTATCGCTCATCACGACAGATCATCCCGGGCACTGACCTGCATTGGTGAACGGCACCACCAATCCCACCATCATCACCATCACCAGCGGCGACATGGTGACGCGGCGGTGCTCCATGGCTGCGGCGGGACGCGTCCCAGGCACCTGTGGAGCGGCCGCTCGAGCGGGCCGAGCCGCGCCGAACGCTATCGTGGCGGAGCTCGATAGCGCTAGGCCACACGTGATCTCGATGATGATAATCTGAGCGTCGCGATGAGCGGAATCGCATCCCGGTGGGCGGAGGAGGGGTGGCGAGGGGTCAGCGGTGACAGAGTCGCTGTCAGCAGGCGGCTGCGGCATGTCAGCGGTCAGCGGGCGAGGGGGGGGGGGGCTGCCGAGGGAACAGGACATGGGGGACGAGGTTTTGACGTGCACGTTAGACCTTTCCAACATAACCTCGAATTGATCTCACTTTCATAGATCCGAGAACAACGCTGAACCAAACACACTTTCATTTGAGTGACGGGCGCAAACGTCACGAGTCCTGAGTGGGTGTGCGCGACAGGGCCGTTCGACGATACACGCATGACGCACCGCGATCGAGCGCTATCTTCTGCATATCCGCGACAGGCGAGATGGCTTATAAAGATAGCTGCCCGCTGATTGCAGCGCTGGCGGCCTATCTAGACGGCTGGCGCCCACCTCCCGGATGTAGAGCGAGTGATGAGCGACGCTCCCAGAGCACGCAAACAGGCGGGGTAAACACGCTACGGAACTGAGACAATTTTCAAACGTACGTACCGCTGAGAAGGCCAACTGTTACTAAATACTACCAACTGTTCGAAAATGTGTAGGCTGTAGCTGATGAAAAATTATTGCAATGACTTCGTTTAATGGCAGAGGTTGTATCACGGAAATAATCGATAGGGACACCTGAACAGCGGACCGGCCTGCCGTCCACGCCAGTACACGCTGCCCATAAACGTAATGTGACAGCTCTTCACCCGTCCTCGCCCACACTGACACGTCCGCTGGTCGGATAAAGTGGGGTCCGACCCGCCCGCCGACAGTCGTCCCTCAGCACCATGCCGCGGCTCTGCCTGTCTCTGACAGTACTGGTGTCGGTGGCTCTGCCGGCCCGAGCCGCGCCCGTGGAACCCAGTTGGAAGTACTGGGCGCAGGATAAGTGGTGGAAGGAGTTCCCGCAGTGCGGCGGAGACCAGCAGTCACCAGTGGAGTTGAGGCCGACAGAGGACCGATTCTGGTATTATGGTAGAGGGCCGCGAGTGAGGTTCGCCAAACGTCTCAAAGCTGGACGACTGACGGCGACGAACACGGGCCGCACACTGAGTGTGACGCTGGAAAACGACTCTGGCCAGCCG